GCCTCTTCAGGGCGCGCCCACCGACACTGGCACCCCGCCCGGCTGCGGTTCTCGGCCCACAGCACTGACGTGCCAGAGCCTCATCTTGTGTGTTGCGTTTGCCCCGCAAGTCAGGGCCAGGAAGGGCCAGTCGCGGCCGGTGCCCGGGCCACAGCAGGACCTGGGTGTTCCCAGCGGCGCAGCCCAGCTCCCAAGTGACCTGCGGGTCACCTTCTGGGGCAGGGGTGCCCTGCACCCAGACTCACATTCCTTGTGTTCACCGAGCCCCAGGGCAGGGCCTGCTGGGCAGGCCCGGGGCACCCCAGGGTTGCATTAAACCCCCAGCAGAACACCCACAACTTCCAGAAGTACCCCTCCAGGCTGAAGGGGTCCTGGGCGGGACCCCTGCCCCCACGTCTCCCTCCAGGCACAAGCCGCAGGCCAGCTGTGGCCCTCGGCCAGCCCCACAGCCCCATGTGGGGCAGACGGGTCACGCCTCTCCCCCCAGGGCCCGGCGGCTGCGAGGACTTCCCGAAGAGCCCAGCCGGGAGATCAATGACCATTAGCTTTCAAGACATGACCGACTGGGAGCCCCAGTCGTGGCTCTGGGACTCTCCCGGATGGGTGACAGGTGGCTCGGCACCCAGGGGACCCAGCCTGTCTTGTGGGTGGCGCCAAGGCCGTGGCCCAGGCTGCCACGCGGGGTGTCCCGGGCAGAGCGTGCCTCGGCGCCAGGACACAGGACAGTGGGCTGGGGACAGACCAAACAGGGCGGGCACACACGAGCAGGGAGCCAGGGTGCGGGGAGGGGCCGCCCGCCCTGAGGGCCGCAGCCTCCGCCTGTGTTCCCTGCGGGGGTGGGGCTGTGGGGGCGTGGGCTGCCAGGGGAGGCCCGGGCCCCAGGGGCCTGTGGCCAGAGGGCTGCTCGCCTGCACGTGCCCCGAGCCGCGTCCGAGGAGGGGTCATGCACGGAGGGACTGCCGTCGCCCTGGTCATTCCGGCTTCCTTGGAAGGTGACCGAGCGGGGCGCAGGCCTGTGGGGAACGCCCCAGAAGGAATGCCAGGCCCCACTTGGGGCTCCTGCTTCGGCCTCTCAGAAGTGACCCCTAAAGTCGGACCCGACCACCCCGGCTTTGCAGAGCCACTCTCGCCCCCCTCCACCCCCCGCAGCCTGCCCCCTCCCCGGACCCCGCTCGGGAGCCGAGCTCGGAGCGCCTCCCAGGCCTCTTCCGCACAGCTGCCTTCGCCCGTCTATTCTTGTGGACGGGGCTCGGGGGAGTTCACGTCAGTGAACACTGTGACATGAAAACCAAGGAAGACAGTAACCTCATTAAGTCGGGGGGCCGGAGAGCTCCCCAAAGCGCCTTCCAGCAGGAGTTTCTGGACTGTGGGCTGTGTGCAAGCTGCCAGGCAGGCAAGGAGGGTTCCGGGACCTCTCCGGAACGGCGGGAACTTCGGGGGGCTCCAGAGGACCCAGCCAGAGCCCCTGCAAGCGGGGGGCCAGGGCAGCGGCGGCATTCGGGGTTCGGGGCTTGTCTTGACAGCCAGGGCATCACCAGGCCAGACAGCGGGTCTGCTGGGGTGGTCAGCAAGCCAGGCCCCCGCCCGCAGCCGGCCGGGCCCACAGCCACCAACCCTCCTGCTGTCCTGGGGCTGGGGGCGGGGGGGCGGTAGAAAACGTGGACTCCTCCTGGGAGCCCTAGGTCCCCCGCGATGGGAAGACAGGCTTGCAGCCTCCGCCCGAGGGCGGCTTTTGGGGGACCTTTCAGCTCTGGAAAGACAGCGAGGGTCTAATTGCAAATCAGCCACACGCACGCCAGGACCGTCCCCGTTACCAGTCCCGGGACGCCGGTGCCCAAGCAGCACCCCGGGAAGGCGCCGCGCCGGCTCCCCGAGCTGCCGTGCCCACTCACCTGCCTCCCGGCGCCTGCCGTTCCACAGGACACAGCCCGGCGCGCGGGGCTCGCCGGCCGCCCAGAGCCTGGCGCGGCCTCGCTGGGGAGTGTCATGCGAACGTCAGAAGCAATTGGTGAGTGAGCGAGTCCCACAAGGGTCGAGTTTTGAGGCAGCGAGTCCATTAGTCCTATTAGGACGTTTTCATCTCAGCGAGAGAGGCTGAATTATTCACGAGCGCTTTTCCCCTAAAAGCCTGGGAGTGCGGATGGCGCTGCAGCCTGCCGAGGCCCCGCCCGGCCTGGGTCTGGGGTCCCGCGCCCCAGCCGTCTGCACCGCGCCTGTGTCTGTCGAGGGGCCCGCGGAGGGGAGGGGGGGCGAGAGCCGTCTTCCCCGCGGTGGGGGCCCCCCACCGGATGCGCCCGGATCACACATCCAGCCCAGGCCCTGGGCGCAGGAGGCCGGCCCCCACCGCTTCTGGGGGCCCCACGCGCCCCTCCCCCAGCCCGCATCCTGGGGTTTGGGAAATGCTCTGAGGCCGGGCTCCGGGCTGCTGCTGGGCTGAGCCCCCGATCCAGGGTTCCGACGGGGCGGGGTGCAGCCTGGCACTTTGGGGATGCCCAGAGCGTCTCAGGGTGGCGCTGCAGGGGAGGGAGCCAGTGCCCGCAAGATTTGGGGTGGAGGCCGGTTGCTCCCCCCAGGCAAACTGGCAAAGAGGCAGCTGCCCGCCCCAGTGCGGTGGGGGACGCGGGCCCCGAGGGGCCGGTGGGAGGGCCTCGAGGGTGGCCGCGGGTGGGCTCCAAGGCCCCAGCCCAGGGCAGGGCCGGGCCCACCGCCGTGACAGCCTTCAGCCTGCAGGCTCTGAGTGGCCGTCCCTCGCAGGCCCAGCCCCTGCCATGGGTCACAGGCCCCTTCGCGCTCTCGTCCCGCGGCTCGGCCCGTCCCACGGTCTCCTCAGCCTCTGCCCGCCCTGCCCGGCAGGGTGCGCCTGCGCGGCTCAGACTGCTGCCCGCTCCACAGGGCGGCCCCTGCTTCCACCTGGCGCTCCAGGGCCCCGCATCCGGCCCCCAGCTGCCCCTCCAGTCCGGCCTCTGGCCATTCCGTCCTATCCTGACAGCCCAGCCTGGTGGCTGCCCTCCAGGGGGTCCTGGTCGCTGCCATCCGGGCAGACATTCCCCGCGCTCGGCTGTGACCACACCCAGGGCTCTCAGGCTACTGCAGCCCTGCACCCTGCCAGAGACCGCCACGACCGCCAGAGACCGTCACGACCACTAGAGACCGCCACGACCACCAGAGACCGTCATGACCACCACGACCACCAGAGACCGCCACGACCGCCAGAGACCACCACGACCACTAGATACCACCACGACCACCAGAGACCATCATGACCACCACGACCACTAGAGACCGCCACGACCACCAGAGACCGTCACGACCACCAGAGACCACCACGACCACCAGAGACCGCCACGACCACTAGAGACCGTCATGACCATCAGAGACCATCATGACCGCCACGACCCCAGAGACCGCCACGACTGCCCACCGGCTGCCGGCCGACCCTTGCCCTCCCGCACTGCCGACTGGGTGCCCGCAGTGGGCAGCGCGTTCTCCTGCCCTTTGACATCGGGCTCGGCTGCGAGACTGGCTCAGCCCAAAGTGAGAGGGAGCCCGTTCTAATGGGGGCCCCCGAGACGCCC